AAATCAATAGCAAAAGCACAAACTAAAAGTTCACCGGAAGTAAATGAAAAATGACATTTAATCCCATTAATAATTTTTACAAAATCAAACTGACTTGGCATGAGCAACCAGATGAATCTTTTTTAAGACATAGGTCACTATTTCATCAAGTGATATAATTAAGTATTTTATCCGAAAGAATTATTTATAGGTTAATAAACAGAAAATGTGATGAGCATATCTTTAAAGACTAAGGAATCAAAATACAGATAGATTTGTGTGTATATCCAGAAATCCAGAAAAGCTTCTTTATCCATATTGCGGTAAATATGCAAAAGTCCATCATCGTATAAACATTATCCAGGTCATAAAAGTGCACTGAAAACCAACCTGGAGAATAAAGGTCACACCAATCATCCGCATACCCCATTTAACAGATTGAGCTATGCCGATATCAACAGTTCCATCTTCTGAAACAACAAATTTCCGTACAAGCCAATATCCAAAACCAGCTCCAGCAAGGATAATTCCAACCAGCAAAAATATAGCTACCTGTAGACATATATCATGGGTTTATGACCAAAGCAAAAGGCAAAAAAAGAAGAACAGCATATGGTCAAAGAAACTAATAAAAAGCATATGGATTACAGCATTTTTTTGTCTTTTAATAATCAGAACGGGGCAATCTTCCCAGCTTACATAAAAATATCATAATGAAATATAGATCTGCATCCAACAAAAGTTACAAAACTACAAGAAACAAAAAATGACGTCTTTATTGCATGATATGATAATCCAAAATGAAAGGCATAAATACTTACAGGGTTGTGCATCTCTCGACTAATCCCAAAATTGACAAGAATAGAGTTGACGAACTCTAAGCATTGATTTACTAGAAAAGATCCTGCGCCAAGCTGGAAAATAGTTCAACCTAAGCTATGCAAATAACAGATTATACATGCCGACAATCTGAGAGAGAGAGAGTGCAAAGGAATACTGACCACTGAACCATATATCACGAGGTAAAAAGAGTTTTTCCTGCCAGTTGGCAACAATTTCATTCCCTGCATAATAATGCAAAAGCAAAGGCATGGCTTGTTTAAAGGCATAGTAAAAAGACAAACGACGACAACATCCACTGCTTTAAAAAGGGAGCAATTCCAGAGCTCCCAATGAGGAGATCTGCATATTAAATGGAGGTATACACTTGTAAAAATGTAACCGCAAAGAAAAGAACCATGACCAGCTAGAATGTGACCAAAAAACAATTTAGAGGTACATATGCAACAATCTAGACGTACACAGGTAACAAAGATGGTGTAAATATTAACTATCAGATAAAAGTGCAACCTACAAACTTGATGAGGAAGAGTTGAAAACATGCTCACAAATCAAGTAGACAGGACAACTTCTGGATCCACCAAATGCAAGCTAATAATTATAATGCAATAAAGATGGCATTCAGATTTCCAAAATGACAACCACTAAGTCACTACTATGACTTTCTTTAAAGTCCAGTAATGCATTTCATGTAAATCAATAATCCACAAAAATGGAACAAAAAGTACAATGTAGTGTTGTAAGTGATCCAATTCTGCCGGTACAGATTTTTAAACCAAACCATTTAACTCAGTTTCAGAAAAATTCAAACCTAAACCTAACAGTTTGGTCTGGTTTCTACTCATTGCATCATCACTATTTCATTGATTACAAAATATTTTCATATATCTTTGCAAGAAAAAGAAAAAAAATGTGTACATCAAACTATAAATTTAAGTGGTCAGTATTGTGGAGCTTTTGGTTCTCAATGTATGCAGCATGAGATTGAAAATAAAAAGGGTTTCAATTTCAGTTTAAGGCTTTGATTTTGATGGATTGCTTAATAATAGGGTTATTAAATTAGGGTAATTAATTAATTATTGGTATTTAGTAATAGACAATTGACCAAAGCACCAATTGTTTTTATTTAAATTTTAATAATTTTATTTTAGAGGGTAAGATTGTAATTTAAAAGTTAAAATTCTGGTGAAAATTTTAATTTTTTGGTTTTTTTTATTTAATTTTTAGAATGTCTAGTTTAGTTTCAACAATCGCTCAAATTTTGAAATCTAAATCAAACCATTTTAGAACGGTTGGATTCAATTCAAAATTGTTATGTTGACAAGTTTACATGGCACAAAACTAGTAGTTACAGAAGACGTCTTCCGTTTAGTTTTCAAATTTGGTGATTTTTGCTTGCAGCCCTACAACATAGTATTATGCATGCACAGAGTGTCTATTGTTTTGGACTATTTTTTATATGAAGGAAATAA